AGAAGGAATCGTTGCTCAGACTCTGCGATTTGTCTGTAAAATGTTCTGTTTTCCATATATTACTGACTCGAGATATTCATTTTTTAGTCTGTTATGCACAAAATATTTTACTTTATTTGGTTGAGCTCTGAAAAGTGAGAAGCGATAACTGGTTAACTACTAATTATTTTTTTTTTTTTGTATTTTCCCTTATTTTATCTTTTTAATAATGTCTATCCTGTATGCAATTCTAAACAAAAAAAAAATAAAACTTCACAAATCTCTAGCATATTACTCTAGAAGTTGTTTCTACCCTTGAGACAAACTGATTAAGCAAAAAGCTTTAATGACCTTTGATCTTGTTAGAACATATTTTTGATTAGTGTTCTTGGCATTGGTATCACACAAGAATGGCTTGATTTCCTTAGATCAGAAATAGATTATCAAGAACAGCACTTGCTCTTCTAATTACCATATCTAATGTTTGAGCATATGAACCTGCTGCTCTGTAAGAAATACAGGTTTGACCCTTGGTAGAAGGAAAACAGGTTAAACTGTATGCAGAAAAGAGGAAATGACACCTGGATCTTGTTTCTCAGGTGATCCAAAAGGATTGTAGCTTTTTTTTCTTATTTAGAGAGAGGGAGAGAGATCAAATTTTAACCTACAATCTCTTGGTGGCTCTGTGCCAGATTCGCATTTTATATTGGAAGAAGATATCACAGGTTGGCGGTATGCCTGGGGTAAGACATCTCTTAGTACAATCAACATATTTGAAAAGTGGAACAAGTCCTTCCAGACAGACCTGTTTTTAACACTTAATCATTTCCTTATGGATATTTGCCAATGTTTATCAATTAATAAGGTTGAGTATGGGGGGTTTAGAGACTAAGGAGTTAATTGCTTCTTGATTTTTTTCCCATGATTAATAAAAAGGGGTTTGGATTTAAGTTTTCCATCTTTTCTCTTACCTTCTCTATTTTCTGAGTATTAAAGAGGTGACTGATCAACTATTGTAGGGTTGTAAGTCTCAAGTTATATAATATATTCTTCAAACACTAAATGTTGGGTTTCTTTAATAAGCATTGTTGATAGTAAAGTGCTTAAAATTTTTTAAATTTAGGTACTCAACATAAATTGAAATTGTCAGATTTCAGTATTTAAATGCTTGTATGCAAATAAAACAAATTTTATTTCAGCAAGGAACATTTAGCAAATACTGTCCGTACTAAATATTTATTTTTTTGTATCATCTTAATTTTTTTTTTTTTTTAAATCAATTCACCCCAAGTAAGATGATAATTCCACTAAGACACAAGGAGGGAAAGAGAATTAGAAAAATTTAGTAGGAACCAGAAGCTCGGTTCTAAACAGGAAACAAAGGATAAACTTCAAAAGACCAGGGTGGAGTGTGAAGCGGACATTAGGGGAACTTATCTACTCCTATCTATCTGTCCATCCTAATCTGCTCATATCTATCTATCTTGATGTTTAATTCTTTCTTTTTTATTTAATCAATACATCACAAGGCAACAAGGGTCTACTGAGAGTGTAAGAGGATGAAAAGATCTTTGAAAACTGGGGAAGAGTGTGAGCTGGGTGATAGGCAAACCTATTTACTCCTATTGAGGAAAAAAAAAAGTAGTAAATAAAGTTTCAGAGTTTAGGCGGAGATGTTAGAAGTACAGAGTTGAAGTAAACTTTAGAAAGAATTGGAAACCCAATCCTAAACAGGAAACAAGGGATAAACCTCTACTCCTGTTCAATATTCTGATTAAGAGTTTGCTTTATCAATGTTTTTTTATTTTGCATTTATTTACATAATAATCAAGTTGTGTTACAAAAAGATTAAGTGCTTGTATTATTGAAAATTGTTCCTACATGTTCAGTGCATTTGTAATCTTGTAGTCACTATGCTATTTCTTTCTCCCCCCCCATAAAACACCCCTTTATTATATTTGCTTATATAATTTGTAGTGCTTAATACATGGATGCTGTATTAACATTTAATCTTTCTCATACTCACTTTTTCAGTCGAAAGTAGATTTCAAGGTGAAATTTTTCTTTCCTATAAAGATAAAATTAAGAAAAAAAAAAAAAATTCTTATTTAGGAAAACAATGTTTTTATTCAGAAGTTTTAAACAAGTTTTATAAATTCAAGCTTTTTCAAAAGGATTAAAAAAAAAAATAAACAAAAATCACTGTAAAGAAATTCTGAATGAATATGAAAGAATCCAGCATCCCAATTTGTTAAATTGCAGTTTGTATAGAAAAATATCTATTACAGTTTGATTGTCAGATTATATTTAAGCAACTTAAGATTATATCTAAGGGATTCTCACCAATTCTGATCTTGTTGCTACTTTTATCTATCTATATATAAAATTCTGTGACTTCTGTTAGTCTGTCCGTTCTTCACACCCACTAATATAGCTATACATTGACCAATCAAAATCAAATTTAGGGAACAAGTGTAAACAGGTAAGGGAGTACAAAGTACAGTTGGTTTTATTAGGGTGTGTAAAAACCACAAATTAGGCTTTTTTGTCAAAATATTTTTCCAAAAAAATGAACTTATTCAAATTTCATCAATTGGCTTGCAAGATTGAACGAAATGTGGATTTTGTCAATTTTGACAAAAAATGTTATTGATAATTTCAACAATATTAAATACTGTGAGAATTACAACATGCATCGGTGTGTTGAAAAAAATTCTAGTTTTATGAAAAATGTGACATCCATCAGTCTTGCGAAAGCTTAGATCTGTGCCCAAAGAGTTATGCTTCAATTGCTGAGGGCGGTGCAGCATCTGTTATGGCTGTACAGGCCCATAGTCTTGATTGCAATGAATGCATGTGAAGATGCTCTCCCCTGATGTCATCTTGTCTTCTTTCTGTCGAGCATGCTTCTCTCTGGTGGCAAGCCTTTGTTTCTCTTCTTGCTCCAGTCCACAGTGTAAATTGCATCTCCAGCATGAGCATTCATTGGACATGCCATGCTATGAACATTGTGGCAAACCACCCTCATTCCCTCTGTATTCCTTTGGTGAGAAGTTCCACGAACAGCAGTTTCCCCACAAAAACCACTGCGCTGTGGAACTGACTTCCAAGAGGATTTTTTCTTCATTGCTACAGTCCTAACCTGTTCAAGTTTCGGGTTAACTGTTATCTTCCTCCCCTATCTGCATAAAATATGCTTCTTACTCTGTAACCCTTCACCTTGACTTGCCCCCTGGGTTATGTACAGGGTGAATGTCACTGTTAAAAAAAAAAAATAATAATAAAATATCGTATAAGTAACTTTTGTATACACTGGCAAGCTCCCAAATTTGAGAGACAGACTTTATTGCAGTGGCCTAGAACCAAGCCTACAATATCTGTGAGAGACTTTATCATATATGCTTGATTTTGGTAGATGTAATGTTTGAGAAAGATGTGTGGTCAATATGGAATTGAAGTTTGGTGAGGGGAAGGTAAGATGGTTGAGATGTACAGACCTTATTGTAATATCAAATGAAAAAAAAAAATCATTTGCAGTGAATGCTGGACAATCGACTCAAAGATGACACTTGAAGCAACAGAAATGTGGTTCTACAGAAAGATGCTGAGGATACCATAGACTGAACATGTGAGCAATGACAAAGTTTTAGAGAAAGTGTAAACAAAAAGGAAATTTGTACTAAACATCAGGAACAGGCAGTTGAAGCTTCTGGGACACATAATTAGGAAGGAAGGCTTGGAAAATCTGATAACTCATAGGGCAGATTGAGGGGAAAGAGAGAGAGAGAGGAAAGCAGTGTATGACAGTTGATGAGCTTGAGTAAATGAATGGTAGAACAGGGTTTGGGAGAAATAATGAAAAGACAAAACTTAAGAGCTACAAGGGTCAGGAAGATGTGGAGGGCGATGATCGCTTACGTCTTGAAGGGACACAGCACATAAAAGAAGAATGCTCCTCTCCTTTTTCTTTGTTTTAATTTCTTGATGACCTCTAACCTATTTACTTAGACTAAGAAAAAATTAATGTCCATCTAAGGGGGAAAAGTTGTAAGGAGCTAGATCTAGGGAATATGGTGGATGTCGAACCTGAGGGATGTTGTCCTTGGCCCAAAACTGCTGCACAAGCCATACTCTCTGATGGAACCTCTGGTGTGTTGTGATGAGATATGACCACACTCTGCACACTTTCCTTCTAAGTGCTGCTATAAACCATGGAAGTGAGTGAGAACATTATAACTTAGTTTGCATGACAAAATTCAGTGTATCTGTGTCAAGAGGCTCTGTGTACTTTAGCTCCATTATCATAGCAACAGTCTCTATACTGTGCACATATGTGTATGTTCTTTTATTTTAATTAAAACCTGCTCTATGCTATTTAACTTGTTAAGTAGACATTGATTTGCATAACTCAAAATGAAATCATCAGGCTTTACTCACCAGTAATTCATATTACTGTTCATCCTGGGTATGATGATAAACTACATCTGGCAGCAAGGCCTCTGACCGAGAGATTTTGAGGAGTGTGGAACCAGCTCTTAATTGCTGTTGTTCACAGGTCAACTCTGACCCATGGTGGTAGCACCTGTTAGGGTCCCAGCTATGAGCAAATAGTGAACCCTCAAACAAAAACAAAACACTATGAAAATATAGAAATACTAGCAATATATTTAAAAAAAAAAAAAAAAAAATTGACCAAAACTTCCAAGAAAATTTTGGCATTAAATGACCCACAAGGAGTTGATATGCCATTAAACAAACAAACAAACAAACCAACTATATTGCTGTCCTTTTAAACTTTTTTTTTTAGGTGGTGGGGATAACAATAATTTGCATGAATTTTCCTTGTGTTTTGCATGTAAAACTTCATATATGCAAAGAAAAAGAAAAAAATTTAAATAAAAAATATAATCTTTTAATTGGTGCTGTTGAATAAATAAAACTCTCCTTTGAAAGCAGATCACATTTATATACCTGTGGGTAAAATAGAAAACTATTTCTTTTTAATAATTTCTTTTCATAAGGCTTTTCCTCTCTTCACCTTTTCCTCTCTTCACCTTTTCCTCTCTTCACCTTTTCCTCTCTTCACCTTTTCCTCTCTTCACCTTTTCCTCTCTTCACCTTTTCCTCCTTCACCTTTTCCTCTCTTTTTTTCCTCTCTTCACCTTTTCTCTTCACCTTTTCTCCTTCACCTTTTCTTCACCTTTTCCTCTCTTCACCTTTTCCTCTCTTCACCTTTTCCTCTCTTCACCTTTTCCTCTCTTCACCTTTTCCTCTCTTCACCCTTTCACCTTTTCCTCTCTTCTCTCTTCACCTTTTTCCTCTCTTCACCTTTTCCTCTCTTCACCTTTTCCTCTCTTCACCTTTTTTCACCTTTTTCCTTCTTCACCTTTTTCCTCTCTTCACCTTTTCCTCTCTTCACCTTTTCCTCTCTTCTTCACCTTTTCCTCTCTTCACCTTTTCCTCTCTTCACCTTTTCCTCTCTTCACCTTTTTCCTCTCTTCACCTTTTCCTCTCTTCACCTTTCCTCTCTTCACCTTTTCCTCTCTTCACCTCTCTTCACCTTTTTCCTCTCTTCACCTTTCCTCTCTTCACCTTTTCTCTCTTCACCTTTTCCTCTCTTCACCTTTTCCTCTCTTCACCTTTTCCCTCTTCACCTTTTCCTCTTTCACCTTTTCCTCTCTTCACCTTTTCCTCTCTTCACCTTTTCCTCTCTTCACCTTTTCCTCTCTTCACCTTTTCCTCTCTTCACCTTTTCCTCTCTTCACCTTTTCCTCTCTTCACCTTTTCCTCTCTTCACCTTTTCCTCTCTTCACCTCTTTTCCTTTCCTCTCTTCACCTTTTCCTCTCACCTTTTCCTCTCTTCACCTTTTCCTTCTTCACCTTTTTCTCTTCACCTTTTCCTCTCTTCACCTTTTCCTCTCTTCACCTTTTTCCTCTCTCTTCACCTTTTCTCTCTTCACCTTTTTTTCACCTTTTCCTCTTCACCTTTTCCTCTCTTCACCTTTCCCTCTCTTCACCTTTTCCTCTTTCCCTTTTCCTCTCTTCTTTTCCTTCTTCACCTTTTCCTCTCTTCACCTTTTCTCTCTTCACCTTTTCCTCTCTTCACCTTTTCCTCTCTTCACCTTTTCCTCTCTTCACTTTTTCCTCTCTTCACCTTTTCCTCTCTTCACCTTTTCCTTTTCTCTTCACCTTTTCCTCTCTTCACCTTTTCCTTCTTCACCTTTTCCTCTCTTCACCTTTTTCCTCTCTTCACCTTTTCCTCTCTTCACCTTTTCCTCTCTTCACCTTTTCCTCTCTTCACCTTTTCCTTTTCACCCCTCTTTCACCTTTTCCTCTCTTCACCTTTTCCTCTCTTCACCTTTTCCTCTCTTCACCTTTTCCTCTCTTCACCTTTTCCTCTCTTCACCTTTATACTGTATTTACTAATCATAAATGGAAAACTTGTCAGAATTGAAGAACCCCTAATATTTTAAAAAGGATTTTGAGTTGGACTATAATGTGTTAGCTTTGCTAGAATATTTAATTTTTTTTTAAGATTACTGGTACTTAAAATAAATGATATAAAAAAAGGCGTTACATTATATTCAAGTAATTGTTATAATTATCTCCCCTTTAGAAAAATTTTCCAAACATAAGTCTAGTAAGAAAGTTGTCAGCACCTCATAAAAACACCCACCTACGTGTTAAAAATGTTTTTCTGCAATATTTTAAACTAAAGGTAATATTGTTTCCATTCAGTTTAAACAATCTTCAAATTGGCTAGTCTTCCTCAAAGTCTCAGAAAAGGATATTTTATTTTTGCAAGATTTTTTAATAATGAGCATTAAATTTCTTAAGGATGTTTACAAGATTTTCATTGTGAGGAAAATCATTAGAAGAACATCACCATCCTCCTCACGATCAAAAATCTAATTATAAAGAAACTTAATGTAGAACCTAGCCTTGAATTCACACATGAACATGCAATAGACAAATCTCTACCTTTCCTCAATATCTTATCACTGAGCACATATGTTGAACTAATCAAGTGAGTTGAAAATCCTTTTCTCTCATGATTCTGTTGGAATTTAAATATTTATGCCTTGTGTGGGAATATGTTTGTGTTTTTCTTGAGGTCAGTCTTAGAGACTTCTAATCTTGTTAAATTTGCCTTTTAACAGTTTGTAATTTTGGAGATAATATTCAGAAATTGAATGTTTATTCACTGAATCCGTTTTTGTTTTATTGTTGCAGAAAGTGAGACTTTCTTGACAATTACACCTTTTTTTTTTTTTTTTTTTTTTTTTTTTTCGTTGCATAATTTCCACCTACACTGGTATTTTGATATTAAGAGGCATGAGTAATGGATTGTGGCTCAGATTGAGGAATCGGAGCTGAATTCATATTATAGTCAAATACATTCACTTACATGCTAATATCCTTGGGAAAGGTATGAATCCCCTTCTCCCCTCTCCCCAAGCTATGAGTAAATAGCAGGACAGACTGGGTTCTATAGCCTTGAGTAGCAACTGGTCTACTGCAGAAAGAAATGGCAATCTACTGCGGGAAAAAAATTTGCCTTGTCAGTCATGTATTGAAAGATACATGATCGCCTAAGCGTGTATCATGCATGGGAAATGACTGACTGGTATTTGGTTATTTGATTCATTTTATGTTCTAGATGATATATATATATATATTGCACATATAGATGTACAATTGAAAGAAGGGAAAAATATCTTGCCATTAAATAACTTGGTCTTTACTTCAGTGTCCACTTCTATATTTACATACGCTCTAATTCTGATATTCAGCCATTTTAACCATAAATATAGCATACCTTTAAAACTATTTTTTATTACATGCACTAGTGTACCTGTGCTGTCAAAAATGAAGGTAATTATTAAAGTTTTAATAGTGAGAGGCAATGAAATGAAAGTCTTCAAACAATGTCTTGAGATACAATAAAGGTATCTGAGTGCCTTACATGAAAGACTTGAACAAATAAGACTGCAATAAAAGAAATTTAGAAGTAAAGGGACTAATTAATTAAATGGTGTCTTTTGCCCGGAAACTAATTTTGTCTAAATGCAGATATTTTATTTGTGTGAATTATTAAAATGACTACAGGAAGTAATCACTCATAAACTTTAATAAGTTGGTTTAGCTCCCTTACCTCAGCATATGGGACAGGAAATATATAAATACCTATTGATAATTATTATATGGTGAGATATTTAAAACACTTACTCTGCAATGGGTAAATTGACTTTCATTTCATGCATGTGCAATCTTTTTGATTTTGTTGACTGCACAGTATATTAGGGTCAGGTGAGAAGATGAGCAGGATGATGCAATTCTCTTAACAAGAAATTTGGGAACAGCATGCCATACTGCTTGGCATTCATGCTGGAAGCTCCAATATGAACATTTCAGAATGTTTGGGTGTCAATCTGAGGACAGTGCAGAGGATTTGAAAAGAGTTATACAAGTCTATTTGATTATGAAGGTACGGCAGCTTGGAAAACTCACTCAGATTGTTTAGAAAAGAAATTCTGAATTTTTTTTGGTGAGGGCATCAAACTCAACAAGTGCCTTGAAGAGGTAGTGCTGCTCAAGAGGGTGGCTGCTGGAAACCCTATATCTAGCAACAGGACTCTGCACCATGCTACAAAAGCAAAACCTAGTCTTAGCCACCTAACTCCACAGTGCACCCCCCTTGTGTGTCGGGTGCATTTGAGCAAGAGACCAACAAAACTCCTTGTAACACCAAAGATGAACTTGAAGGCAAGGATTATGGCAGCATTCACCAACTTAAACAAGGAGACTGTCCAGAAGAGTTGCAGGAGATTCTGAAGTCATCTGGAAGCCATAGTTGAAGCTAATAGCAATTTTATTGAATAAATTTATTCTTTAGTATTTCAAGATATTTTTGTAATTTTGGTAAATATATCTGTTAAAATGAGATGTTGGCATTATTTTCATTTTTGCATAATTTAGGTGATAATTTGTCCATTGCACCACACACATATATATTTTAAATCGGTTCATCCCAAATAAGGCAATAATGCCACTAAGATGCAAGTGGCTGCTGGGAGTGAAAGAAAATGAGAACCCAAAATTCAATCCTAAACTGGAAACAAATTAAAAAAAAATCTGGGAGAAGTGTGAACTGGATGATAGGCAAAATATGAGTGGACACTGAGGCCAGCACCAATAGGTGACAGTCTGTTTCATCCTGGATGCAAAATTAGCAACTGTCAAGTTTTGACACTTCAAAAAAGCATTCAAAATATCTGTGACAAAGACACAATGTGTACTTTTGAAATATCATGTACAAGAAAGGATTGCATAAAATGATAGGCAAAAGAGGGTGGTGGTGGAAAGAGTCAAACTGCTGCTGAAAAACAGAAGGTCATTAACTCGGTCATCAAGCATGATGGTCCTGTGAAGTCTATTAAAGATGTACAGGGAAAGATTAACTTGAATATCTGAAGGTACTCTTAGGTATCAAATCAATACCGCTGTCAAGTAGATGCAAACTTCATCTCCATCACTAAGATCAATGATTCTGAGTACTTAAACAACTAGCAGTTGTGATGAGGAATAACCACCTGAGGTAACCTTCAGTTATGAGCACCGAGGCCAATGCATTGCAGTATATTATGACTCCAACTTTTACATTAGCCAAGTTATTATTGCGCATCTCCAGTGCTGTGGTAAAGTTTTTAGCTCTAACAAAGCAGCAATAATTTTCGATGGATTTTGTCAGATTACATCTCAAAGGTAGAATCAACATTTGTTTCCAGATGTGAATGTGTGGCGGACATGAGACAGAACCTGGGACGAGCACAACTGGTCGCGACTTGTCTTGTCCCTGCCAAAAAAGAGCCCGTATTTGCTTAGCACGTAAAGCTACTGCAGTTGAAATGAGGGAGAGAAAAAAGCACTTACCGCTCTGCCGTAATCCATCCTCGGCCAGATAACGTAAAAGAATGAGGGGGGACTGGCATCACATTTTTATGCAATAACGATGCAATGCATTATGGGACATGGATGCAATGAATTATGGAATCACATGAAGACGCAAGGGATTATGGGTACATGATCAACTATAAAAACAACTACTTTTTTCCGAGTCGGGGAGTTCTTCGAGGGACGTTGACGGCAAGAACGGGCAGTTAGTGTGATTTGGAGACAGAACTCAAGAAGGAACGACTCAAGTTTGAAATACCAGCTGGGAGAGCTTGAATTTACTCGCTGGTTACTGTTTTCTTCATTCGCCTCAGAATGTCAGTTTCAAGCTAGAGGTTTATAAGGAAAATTCAGTCAGCAAATCACTATTAGGAGAGGAACTGTAGGAGAACCGTTCACAATATCCAGAAAGTTTTTTTTTTTTTGTCCTCTCTGTTTAAAACTAAAGAAGTTTAAAGCACTATTATAAAGTATTCATTTTCCATTTTAAAACAAAATTCTAAGATTTGTAGCCACTATCGTCCTGTTTTTGACAAGTTGAAAATTACATAATTCTTCAAAATTTTCTAAAATAACATAAAAAGGTATTGCTATAATAGTAAAAAAGAGCTGTTTTATTGAATTCCTCATCACTAAATGAGTAAAGTTTCAAAGTTCTAGCCAGTTACATCTTTCAATGTATACTTTTTCTTTAGGGAAAGTTCAGTATGACATACTTTTGACCTGTTTTTGCCCTATTGTCAAATTGTGCTTCTGGCTGTTTTTATGTAGTGTTAAATACAGGTGTTTATATTTTTTTTTTTTTTTTTTTTTATTTATTGAGGTACTACTGAAAAAAAAATCACTTCATCTCTGTGCTATGAAATTATAGGAAGAAGTCTCAAGGCATTAACTGTTGAAATGAAACTTACATGATCTTCAAATTTGACCTGTCATATTTTTATGATTTTTGAGAATTAAATTTTCCCAGTGTTTAGGCTGGGCTGATCTAAAAATTGATTCCATTAGCTTTCTTTCACTTCAAGGCTACCTATATGACATTACATTTATAATGATTTTTAACTTGTTTCAAGTCTGCATCTTCAGTTATACAAGGTTAAAATTAGCTTTTTTTGTTCAGTAGCACATAAGATGGAAATTTGTTTTTATGAACTTTGAACGGTTGTAACTTTGTTGCTTATTGAGCTATGAAGATAAATTTGGTATCTTTTTTTTTTCTTAATGGTTTATCAAGATCTCTGTATTAAAGGATTTTAGATATATTGAAAATTCTGACAGAGGATGGAAAGTTCAACACTGAGGCATACTGGGATGAACAAATATACAAAAAATCTAGGCAGAGTATTGCAAAACAAGAACGTTTTGTTGGAAACAAAGAAAAGAGTACTGCTACATGATATGGCAGCGAATGCTGGACAATCTCACCAAAGATGAAGAAGACTTAAAGCAACAGAAATGTGG